GAAGCTATACATATCAATATTTGTAATTAATTGCAACTCAATTTGTGTTGTCTTTAGCATTGCATCCCACGATAATCCGGGGGCAGTAAAATATTGGCAAGGGTCTAGACTATAAATTTCTAAACAAATTTTTCTGAAATTTTGAAAAATATCTGTTAATAATATTACGTCTGTTTTTAAATAAATTTCTAAGTAATCACGTAATGTTAAACAATTAAAAGTTGACCACACTTTTTGAGCATGCTCATAGTCGCTAACACTACATTCTTCATTAATTAATTTATTGAAAAAATTTTCACGAGGTGGTAAACATGATTCTTGAAGGCGTTCAATGCTATTAAAATAATCGTAAGGAAATATCCCTTTTACTTTTAAAAGATTGAATTCATCTTCATCAACGAAGGTTGTTCGCAACACTCTAAAATCATCATTAGTTAAATTTTTAGCTAAACTAGATAAACTAGAAGACATAAATCGAAAAGAATCTAAAAACCTAAGTTCAAAGCTTGAATTAATATTAAAATTAATATGTTTTGATACGGATACATACAATTCCTTATTTAGTGGAATAATATTAATACTTCCTGGAATATTTGAAAGTTCTTTTATGAATAAATGACAATCATATGAGGAAAGATTATGGAAAAATATTGGAATAAAGTTTGCGATTTTAAAATTTAAATTACAATCATTATGAGCTGGACCTCGATATTTTCCAGTTAGATGACAATGATCTATTACTCTATCGATCCCTAAGGGTTTTCCACAAATTGAACAAGTACTACTATTATTTTGTATATCTAATTCAATTGAAGTGAGGAAATTTATGGGTTCTATCTTTTTTAAATAATTAAAATAAATTTCTCTAGCATCATCAATTAAACTTTTAATAAATATCGAAGCTGAATCCTCACCAGTATATATTTTAAGTTTATCTAAAGAATCATTAAATGCACATTTAATATAATAACTAAATGCACATGGCTTATGCTTCTGAATTGCTTTGCTGTTATTCGAAATCTCTAAATCTTCCTCTACTAAGACACATTCAAAGTCAGCATAAACTGTAAAAGGAACCTCTAGCTTATTTTTAAAGTTTTTAAACATTAATTTACTTTTTTCGGCTTCTACCATCTTTGTAACAATTTGTCCACATTCAGACTTATGTTGATTGAGTCTTTCTTTAGTGGTAAACATTTGTAGACATGTGTTGCATAGGAATGTTTTATGTTCATTTAATGTTAACTGCTTTGATACCAATCTAAAATTTCAAAACTATAAATTGAATTTTTTTTATTTATAAAGCACGAATATATATTTTTATAAGTATAATTGTTTATAACTAAATAATTACCTTGAAATATTTTTAATCCATACATAATGGAATAAATCGTCTTTTTGTAGTAATAGCAGATTTATATGAGTGTCTTTTTCTTCTTTTGTGCGGTAATATGGACCTTCAACACTTTTAGCAACTTCATTCAATCCGAAGACATTAATGCTAATGGTAGGATTTTTATCTTCAAATATCTTAATATCCTTCAACGCAAGTGGAAATGTTAACATTTCAAAGTTTATTAAAAGTCCATTTCTCAAATAAATAATTTCAGACTCTATGTCATCAATGTGATAGCTAGAACATTCCTGCGGATTCCTTGAGGAATATAGAGATGAAACGATTGCCCATTTGAAACAATATATATCATTGTTTTTTATATTGATACAAGCTTTTTTATCGAAGATGAATTTCGGTAATTTTATAAAACTTGAACCCTTTATGGGTTTATATTGATTAATATTTAGTTCAAGACGTAATATTTTTATAAGCGACCAACCACTATCACGCTCTTGAAATTCCGACATCTTCTTCTCAATTTCCATAAAATGAACTAAAAATATCTCCTCCAAGTCAGTATTTTGATCTAATATCATCATTTTTGATTGATGAGATTTTATATCTATTATATCCACCTCTTCACTCATTTTATAATATTCGCAAAATATTTCGAAATTAAACTTCAATGCGTAGTGTTTTTCTAACATCTCATTTAATATTTGAAATACGGATGATTTAGCTTTATATATAAACTCATTAGGAATCAATAATCTTTCATCTGTATTTATGTAGGAATATGATTCAATGCGTTCATTAAAAAGTGATCGAATTTGTCTTAGACTTTGAACGAAGATAATTTCCAAATATAAAATATTTGAAATCGTCCAACCAATATCGCTTTTTTAAATTCAGATATATTCCTATCAATATCTATACATTGCTCTAAATATATTTCGTTTAAGTCCGCGTTTTTGTTTATTTCAATTAAATGTGCTGGGTGGGATTTTATGATAATATCTGCGTTCTCTTCATCCATTTTAACATACTCGCAAAGAAGGTTGAAGTTGAATTTCAGTACATTATGTTTTTCTAACATATTATTTAAAATTTCAACGACGTTTGGTTTAGCGATATCAAAAAAAAGATTTGGATTTAGAATCATATTATTTGTGTTTCTATATTTATACGGTTCTAATTTTTCAGCGAAACTCGATTTTATTTGTTTTAAGTTTTCATTTATTATCTCTCCACTTTTTGATTTATGAGCATTCGTCCTCAAGTGATAAGTCCAATTTTTCCAATCAATTTCTTCCTTACAGCTTCTACAATAGACTGCATCATATTTATCTGGATTTAAGTTTTCAGATCCGCTGGGAGCGTCATCGTTTATTGATTTCGGTATACGCATTGAAGTTTTTTGATGTTTTCCTTGAATATGACGTTTAAGACTAGAATTTCTACTGAATGACGCTTCACACATATCGCAGTTAAATGATTTCATTATGCTTGCTTTTTATATATATTATTATGTGTATATATATATAAATTTATTTATTTTTTAATGTTGTTGATCTTTAGGTTTTTTTATTATATTTTTTTATTTAGACTATAAATGTTTAGAAAAATAGAATATATATACGTATACTTTAAAATAAAAAACAAATTTTTTCTATTATACGTAGACAAATTCAC